AGGTAAGAAAAAGCAATTTAATATGCACTTTAAAGATAAATAGTATAGGTAATAGTAGTATTTATTTTGGCTTTGGCTTTGGTAATGGAATATTTTGATTTTTATTAGTTGAGAAAGTTTTTGGGGCTTTGGTGATTGGGATATCTAAACATGGATCAAGAGAAAAAAAGGTCTCGCAATTTTAGTAGCCGAGAGGAATACGTTTTACTAAGCTTAGTAAAAGAGAAAAAAAATAGAATAGAGTGTAAAAAAACTGACATGAACAACAACAAAATTAAAGAAAAGGCATGGTTAGAAGTTGCTGAGGAATTTAATGGAATATGTGGGGAAACTTTTAGAGATGTAAAAGTTCTTCGCAGTAAGTATGAAAATATTAAAAAGAGAACGAAGCAAAAAGTTGCAGACCAAAAATTTTTGGTAAAAGGAACAGGTGGAGGTCCAGGAAAGATGTTTGAGTATTCAAATGTAGAAAATGCAATCATCGAAATTGCTGGAACTCAAATAATTGGAACCGAGTCAAATTTTGATGATGATTGTGATGGTAAGTTATAGACTTTAAAAATTAAGTTAGTAAATGGTTTATAAAAACATATTTTATAGAAATAGAACAAGAAATAGAGTTGGAACAACAAGCCTTTCCTACCTTTTTGGAAGATGATGTCAAATGTAGCTTTGAATACAACCCAGGTAAAAAAAACCATATACTATTTAGTATAATTAGTAATCTAATAAAATATTTATTTCTAGAACCAATTAAGACAGTCTCACTGGCAGCAATAGAATTTGTACCACCTTCCTATTTAAAATCTACTTTAAGCAGCCCTGGTAATTTTTTTTTATTACTTTTACATATTTATACAATATGATATATTTATTATTATTATCTATATATTTTGTTTTAGCAGCATCAGAATTTGTACAACCTTATTTGAAAACCAATTCAAGCAGCCCTGGTAAGAAAGTTGTTTAATCATTATTAAATATTTATAAAATAATTTTATTTTAGCATCCACTTCACAACAAGGAGATTGGTCAAAATATACTCCGGATATGTTAAGGACTCCCCGGTCAAAAGCACTTCGCAGTAGAACCACTAGCAAAGGTAAAAATTCTAAATACATATTATACAATTTTTTATGAACGTTTTTTTTTCTAGAAAATGTACCACCACCCAAACAACAAAATAATAAAGGTAAAATTGTTAATTACCTACTACCTATTATAAAGTAAAATCCAACATTTAAAAAATATAAAAAATGTTACTTTATCTCATATTATTATTAATATTATCTTTTAGAATGTATGCCTCTCCCTATGAAGAAGAAGTTGGAAGAGTGGAGTTCTGCAAAGATAAAATTTACAGAACTCCAAGAAAAGTGTTTTCTGGAAGAACACAACCTAAAACTAAAAATTATGGAAAAGGAAAGCAACCTAAAAATGACCTTAATGGAAAAGGAAAGTAATTTAAAACAAGAAACAAAATTAAAAATAGAAATATTAAAAATAGAAAAGGGAAAATTATTTAATTAATAAATGTTTTTTTAGATCATAAGTAACTGTTATTTTTTCAAATCAAACTTTTTGTTAATTTTTTGGTTTAGTAATTTTATGTTATTTGTAGTTTTAATGTTGATTTATATTATTGCAATTAGGGAGTAATTTAGTACATTATTATTATTTGTAAATATTTTTTTGTAAATTGTTAGGTATAGTAGTTTTATGTTAATAGTAATAGTAGTTTTAATATTAATTTGTATTATTGTTTGCAATAAATTAATTATTTAGTAAAATATTTTGTTGTAAATTGTTAGGTGTAGTAATTTTAATGTTAACTTCTATTATTGATTGCAATAAAAAATTATTCAGTACTTATATATAACGTATTTATTAAGTGGTTGACAATCCAGCAGTATTACAAAATATAAAAATTAAAGTAAATTTTGAAAGTAATCTGTAATAAGTGCATGTCTGACACTGTCATTGATACCAAGTCTATTTTGTCTAGCAGGAACATTTGGAATGTCAACAAAATTTATTGCTGCCTCAATTTCATCATTGACAGGAGGTACTGCATCATGCCTTGCACAAGCAATATTATGAAGTATTGTACAAGTAATCACAACAGCCTCCACTTTATTTAATTTAATTCTTACACCATAAGCAAGAATTGGAAAACGCCTTTTTAAAACTCCAAAACACCTCTCTATTGGATTCCTTGTTCGAATTTGTGATTCATTAAAAAGATGTTCAGCTGGTGTTCGTGGATTTAAAAGTGGTGTAATTAGGTACCTTTTAATACCATAGCCACTGTCTCCTAAAAGTAGATTTTCCCCAAATTCACCTCTCTCAAATTTTGCTCGTAGTCTAGAATGTCTAAATATATTAGAATCATGGGAAGCTCCTGGCCAACGGCAAACTATATTTTGAATCTGCAACTCAGAATCACAAACTGCTTGAACATTAAGGGAAAAGAAACCTTTTCGGTTTCTATAGTTTTCTGCCTCGGCTCCACCTGGAGATTGTATTCTAATATGAGTGCAATCCAATGCTCCTATGCATCTGGGAAAGCCACTGATATTATAAAACTTTTGCCGTACCTGGCGAATTTCTTCTTCGGTATTTGGCATACTTATGTACTCTCTTCTTTTCCTGGCAATTGCAGTTACAACTTTATGTATAACTCTGCTTGCTGTAGACTTATCAATGCCATTAAAATCACCAGTTACTTGTAGAAATGATCCTGTTGCAAGAAATCGTAAAGTAACAAAAACCATTTCTGCAGGGGAAAGAGCATGATTTCTACAAAAAAAATTGACAAAATAAGATCCTGCATACAAAAGAATTTGCATAATTTACTGACCTGTTTGTCGGGGAAGCAATATCATCTGCAATCTCATTAATTACAAATCTCACAGTATCTTTTGATAATCTAAATCTTTGTATAAATTCAGATTCATTCCATTTTTGGAAATGATCTGGTCGATCCCTAAAAATCTGGGGTCGTCTGGGAAAAGCAAACATAAAAACAATATCCAAAAAATCCTCATCATCAGTTAAAAGTTCCATTGGAATATTTAAAAATCTAAAAAAGCATGTAAAGGTTAATATTTTTTGTGACACATATAACATAACTTTACCTTAATATGTAAAATGTTTATGTTTATTAACGTCCGAATATAAATAACATAAAAAACTGGTAAAAATAACTTAACCTTAAACACAAATTACAAATATACGCATGTGCCGCTGGCTTGACTGAAAGTTCAGTGCGTTGAACGGCCAACACCGGCGGTTCACTTTTAAGCATGAGTTCAAGCTTGAACGGATATTGCACAACATGAAATTTTCGTTGAACGTCCGTTCAACGTTGAACTACAGTTTACTGCTATTGAACTGCCATTGTACAACCGGCCCTTACTGGCGTACATACGGACATTGAAATATGGCTTTGTAAAAAAATATGGTACGCGACTGAAAAAAATAATATTTAATATAAAAAGTGTAATTTCCAAAAAAAATCTGTTGATTAGGATGATAGAATACTTTCCATACCTACACAGTAAAAAAAAGCTTTACACTAGCAGGTCCACTTTATTAGAGTTCAAATTTTCACCTTAAATTTAGTGTGAATTTTAGTGTTGTTTTAACTCTAGAGGTTGTACTCTTGTAGTGTAAAACATTTAACACAGTTCGTGCGACTTTATAGACTATTTGATTGAAAATTACTACACTAACCGTGTTCGGTACCTCTATAAAAGTGTTCACTTTGACACTAATTTATTTGCATTTGATTCACTTTGGTTTTGCGTTAAAAAATATCAAACTACAATATTTGGCAATTACTTTACATAAATAAATAAATACAGTCAATTGTAAGTTTTACGCTACAAAATATAAAACTAATATTTGGCAATTACTTAAAATATAAAAACGTTCAAAAACCAAATAATATTTTGGCACAAAGTACCAATTGACACTGTTAGATTGGTATAAATTGTATGGCTCTTTGTAAAGCAAGCTTAAAATCTCGTAGTTTTATACAGGTAACCAATTCTTACCCATTTTGTGACTAAAATTTCTATCGAATCTGGAAATTCTTCTATAAAATTATATACCAAATTTTTGCAGTGATAATCTCCAAATGAAACTTTGAAGGTCCTTTTTGCAATTCAGTGCTAAAGTTGTCATCATAAAATGCCATCTGCTAGTATCACACTGCTAATGTTTTGGCTAAACTTTTAAATTTTTTAAACTTGGCATCATGGACATGTTTTACTCTTAGGAAAGACATCTAAAAATTAAAAAAAAAACGATTTACTTATTAAATACATTAAACTAAGCTATTGTAAGAATTGTACTTAAAATTTGTTTGTACAATAAACAAAACGCGATTTTCACGCGATATTCGACCTTATGAACCAAAACAAAATGCAATTTTAGACATTATAAATCATAATGAGTAATAATACTTTAAAATTGACTTACCTTTAGTTAATAATTATAAACCACAACTAAACAGCTTGGTGCATTCTACCAACACAAATTCTGAGAGAACAATGAACGAAACAAGTTTGCGTTTTTGTCAACTGCATATTTACACTAATGTGCACTGCCAGAGCTTGGCTAGTGTTAAATGAATATTTAAGTGTAAAGTTAGATTGACGTGGAACACTATAGTATACCATCATTCCATCGCATTAAGATGAAAAAATATATTTTAGGATTGAAAATAGGTTTACACAAACTTTTTCACTCTACAACTTTCACCTGTGGGAACACTAAAATATTTTTTTACTGTGTACTATGAAATGATTTATTTATTTATTCTTCGTCGCCTTGTCCAGAAATTTTTACTTTTTCAGGGTCATTATAAAGTAAATATCTACTCTGCATCTTTATACACCACTCGTAATGCCTACTCATTCCTTAACAGGATTAAAAACCCAAAATCGATATATATTTAATAGGCAATATAGTCCATGTCACGGACATAGTAAGTATTCCAATCCAATTAGTATTTAATGGCTTCGAGTATAATTAAGTTTAACATTGTTTCAACGCAAAAACTTGTCAGGTACTGAATGTGTATTGTACCTGAGACATGTGTGGATGACTGCTTAATAGTTAACAAAAGGTGGGTTCGAAAACAAATTTATTAAACAAAATGAAGATTTCCAAGTTGGATTTTAACAAGATAAACGACCCGGGTAACAGATTTGTGCTGAAAAACTGCTTCCAGTGTGGTGTGTTTGGAAAAATTTACGTTGGAAATGATAATAATTCAAACAGGAAAGTAGCAGTTAAAGTGCAAAAAATTACAGAGGATAACAAGAAGTTTATAGAAAGAGAATACTCAGTTCTTAAGGACTTTTCGGCAAACCTTAATATCATTGATTTCTATGGTGTCTATAAAAAATCAAACGAAATATGGATGGTTCTTGAGGTATTTAAATATATGTATATAGTTTTTTATTGATTTTTAAATGACTATGACTTATTATGGTATGATATATATTAGGGTGTTTCATTTAAAATGAGTATTTTTTTCCGAAACTCCAAAACATTATTCAAAACATCGAAAAAAAAAGTTTGAGCCCTTAATTTTCATTATTCATTTTAATTTTTCATTTAATTTCTATATCTTTTCCGGGTTTTTAGCTATCATATTGTGGTTCATTGTTACTTAAAGTACTTAACGAGTATTTAACGCTTTTTAAAATAACCTATAAGAATGTTTCTCCAACTCGATTCACATTGATGGTATTAGCTCTGAAAGTCAATTTTTTACTTTTTTCGCAAATCTTTATAAAATTAAAAGAATGGCTTGCCTTACAAAAAAAAATAAAGGAAAAAGTTGTAGAAAATTTAATTCTATACAAAAAAGTTTTTATGTTTATATCGCTAAAGTGCACAGTTTACAAGATATTTAATAGTCATGGAATTTAAGACAAATTAATCTTAAGAAAACACAAATTTTTCAAATTTTTAAATATTAAACTGCCTATGTCTTCTGCACTTTAGCGATATAAAAGTAAGGACTTTTTTTGTAGAGAATTAAATTTTTTTTTTATAATTTTTAGGTAAGACAAGCCATTTTCTTAATATTTTTAAAAATGACCTTCACTGGGAATTTCTAGTTATAAATTTCAAATTAAACCATTTTTTTGTCGTAAAAAATTAGTAAAAAAGCTCAAAATAATTCCAAAAAAAGTATAATAAGCTAAAAAAAGCATAAATAAACAAAATGTTTAACAATAATTAAAACACTTTCATTTTTAGCTTTTTAAATTAAATGCTCTAAACGACTCTAAATGGTCCCCCTACATATTGTAGAAATAGTTTTGAGAAATTTTAGATTTCTTTTTTAGGTCCCACTTATAGAGCATTGCTTGTTTTTAAATAGACACCCTGTATATTACAGCATTTGTTTATATATTTTAGTACTGTGAAGGTGGAGCCGTAATAGATTTGGTTAATGGGTTAATCAAGAGAAATCGTAGAATGACAGAAGAACATATTGCTCACGTGTTGAAGGAAACAATAAAAGTATGTATTAACCTGAATTTGTTTTATGAAACCTTAAAGTTTCGTAATCAATACCCTTCATTTGTGCTTTTAAATCAGAACACGTGCTTTATAAAGTATAGTATAAATTTGTTATGTATTCTCTAATTTAAGGCAATCTTTAATTCTTAAGGATGGCCTAGGCAGCTACCTCCATTGAAATGGCCTCCTCGATCTCTGTGTTGATGATAGTAACAAAATAGGTTTTAAAAGGGTCTTTAATCCAAAACTCTGCATTTTCAGGCATTAATTTTTCTACATGACAACAATGTCATCCACAGAGATATTAAAGCAAGAAACATCCTTCTTACAAAAGAAGGGGACGTTAAGTTGGCTGACTTCGGACTATGTCATTACCTAAAAGACGTCTCCGACCAAACCAACACCACAATAGGTAAGTAAACAAAAAATCTTGAAGCAAAACAATCCAATTTCCAATATTAAGGTTCGCCATGTTGGATGGCTCCTGAGGTGGTAAGAGGTAGCTATGGTGATTACTATGGACTTAGAGCCGATGTTTGGTCATTGGGAATAACCGCTATAGAGTTGGGAGATGGAAAAGCTCCATTTCAAGACATGCATCCTACTAGAGCTTTGTTCCAGATCGTTAGAAACCCTCCTCCAACATTGTACCGACCATCCAATTGGTCGCAGAATTATAATGACTTCATTAATGAGTATAATTAAAAAATGATGATTTATTTTGTTTTAATTGAAGCTTGTAGGTGTTTAGTGAAAAATCAGGAGCATAGACCGTATATTATGGAGGTTATTGAACACCCTTTCTTGGAAGAAATCCCAGATAATTGTTTCCATGTATTTTTTAAAACAACCTTATCTATATTTTGTATAACATCATATGTTCCAGCTTTCCCTTGAGTTAAAATCCATCATAAAAGATATTGGTATGACTTCAAATAATGACACGCAAGACTATAACATTCTAGGAGACAAGTTGAAGAGGAGTATTGATGATCCTTTGGAAAATATGGAAGTTGAAGACTTGGCAGCTTTGGATAAAATAAATGAATCCGTTATTTTGGATCAGTTAGAAGCTAGAATGAGAAAGGGACAAGTACATACTTTCATTGGGGATGTTTTACTTATTATAAATCCAAATGAGAAGTACGATATATATGGACCCAAGGTAAATAAGTCCAGCATGTTTGCATGTTAGTTTTTCTTTTAGGGAGTATATAAAATATACCATATATTATATGGTATATTTTAATCTAATTTATGTATATATGGGTGATTCTACAAAAGTTGGGCAACTTTTGACTTCATTTTGTTTATATAGTTTTCGGAGAAAATTAAATAGTATTTTGTTATGAGAACATAGATAATATAATAAATATACTGTTCCAGACCGGGCCAGTCACTTTTTCAAACAGTTTTTGAAATATCTTTGTTTTCTAAATTTGAATGCAAGGGAAGTGATGAGTATACCAGGGTACTAATTAAATACATAATTTATTGGAAAATATAAGATTTATTGCAACTTTGAGCATTTTATACATTAAATATCTTAGAATCAAATAATACCACACATTAGTGGAAAAAATGAATTAGTCAAAAATAACTAATTTAATAGTTATTAGTGGCTGCTTTTTCACTTGTGCCATTGTTAACCATCGAATACCATGGTATCCCAAAATTTAATAGCCAATTCTTATGTAAAATTGTACTCTGAATCCGAAAATACCGTCAAAAATTATGAATGTGCAGCAGTTTTTGAGATATAGTCAATTCCATATTAAATTGAAAATTTACTATATCTCAAAAACTGTTCTACTTTTTTAACTTTTAAAGACATTTTCGGATTCAGGGTACAATTTTACATAAGAATTAGCTATTAAATTTTGGGATACCATGGTATTCGATGGTTAACCATGGCACAAGTGAAAAAGCAGCCACTATTAACTATTAAATTAGTTATTTTTGACTAATTCATTTTTAGAGAGGGGGCTGGTGGATTTTGGGTATACCGATATCTCAATTATTAGATATGGGACCCACACCAAATTTATATGAGTTTATAATGACATTAAATAGAGAAGTTCTGCGCAAGCAGAATTTAAATTGAAGTTTGCGAAAAAAAGATAGGTAACCGAAACATCGAACATGGAACTGACACGGTACTGATCACAGACCACAGGTCTGTGGTACTGATGAATGGGATACAAATTTAAGATTATAATTCGGAATTAAGTATTTTACTGATATTTTTTATTAGTGGATGCTACTTATCTAGAATTCACATATAGCCTTATATAAATTACAATGAAATATATATACGTAAGAAAATAACTACTCACCACAGTACGGAAATTTTGACTGGAACTATACGTGCATTCACCACAACTTCGCCGCTTGCATTGTTTTCAAGATGACTGTCGTGCAAAGAGCGGGCTCTGCAGGTAATTTTTTTTACCAACACTTAAGTTAAAATGAGGACTTGACGTTTAAACTAAAAGTGAGTACAAAGCCAAGGTACTGGTGTTTTGAATATTTATTATGTTTTTCTACAAACGTGCTTTTTAAAAAATACATTAAAATTGGGTGGACAAGTTAAAAAAACATGGATCTTTTGTAATATACTAAAATATTTACAAAAAATATTAAAATATCGACTCTATTGACTGATGACATCAAGTTGTCCAACTTTTGTAGAATCACCCATATGTATATACAGGGTGTCGAGCGCCACAGAGAACAAGGGAACGTGCCGAAAGTTATGCGAAACACATTCTTGAAAATTAAAATTATCTATCGCAAAGGATAAGCGAGATAAGAATAAAAAACAATAGCCAATCCCAATAAATGGCAATGGGGAATTCTTTAAATTGCTAGGTTACTTGGATGCATTGTTGATATAATAATATGTAAAATATTAGGTCAATTTAGTAGTATGGGCGTAATGCTAGGGAGGCAACACAAGTTTTTTTCCAGTGCTTTTACGATCGTCCCCTGGTTCTGTAAAGTTGTTCTGCGTTGTAAAGAAATTGAAGGTGCTCCTTAACGTATAAAATAAACAATCTATACGCTAAAGAATCATCGCTAGTAGCGCCACCACTCGGCCGTTATCATCGTAATAAAACTACAACTTTTAATAATCAGCTGTCAAACGCTTATGTTACAAACGAATGTTTTTGAGAATAAAGCCGGAAAATGTTAAAAAATATCGAAAAAAAAAATAAGTGTAAACATTTCAATTCAGTAAAAATCGTCAAACAAATAAGTCGTCTAAATTCAAACAGCATTTAGCATTATTAAAAGCGTTGATTAAGAAAGTCTCTAATCAACGATTGCAAATGTAAAACACCATTATATTATGTATTATATATAATATTATGTTGCCATGAATTCGTAGGTATATAGTGGAATTCTGTAGTGGTTGCTAGAGATTTTGACTCTGGGGTACCTACAGAACTAGTTTAATTTTTACTGCCGATTTTTTGCTTTCATTTCATTACACTATTACTTAGAATTTTTTTATTTTTAAATTTAGCATCTTCATTGGTATGGAACACCCTAGACAGTTATTTATCTTGTTCAGTTAAAAACACGATCTGTTCCTACAACCAAGTATAGTTGTATTACTGGTTGCCTAAATTAAGACTTTACAACGCGTTTCAGCATAAAGTAGGTATATAGTGGAATTCTGTAGTGGTTGCTAGAGATTTTGACTCTGGGGTACCTACAGAACTAGTTTAATTTTTACTGCCGATCTTTTGCTTTCATTTCATTACACTATTACTTAGAATTTTTTTATTTTTAAATTTTGCATCTTCATTGGTATGGAACACCCTAAACAATTATTTATCTTGTTCAGTTACAAACACGATCACTTCCTACAACCAAGTATAGTTGTATTACTGGTTGCCTAAATTAAGACTTTACAAAGCGTTTCAGCATAAAATTTGAGGTAAAAGTTTAATATTTGTTTTATGAAATTAAGACACTTTCGGTGTGTGATTTTGTAAATTGGTTTAAACGGCGAAAGTGGTTTAAAAAAATATTTGACGTAAGAAGAGTTAGAAATAATGGAGTTGATGGTAATTCTTCATGTGAAGAAAATATTTTTTTAGACACCTGCTTTAAAGTGTTTTGAAAATGTTGTTTACTTTTTAATAATTATAAATTATTTTTATCATTTATAACTGTTTAATTGTAAATCTTCTTGATTTAAATTTCAAGCAAACGTCTTTTTCAGTTTTTTTTGTTAGTTTTTAATTGATTTAAAAAATTGTCACTGGTTTTCAAACTGAAATTAGGGGATATAGTGAAGTGGGATAAAGTTACGAAATACTGATAATTTTATTGTACCAAATTTCTTTATAATTTGATGATTTTTTTTGTGTTCATTTAGTTAGGCATGTATTAATTATTTGTTTGGGAAATTGACTAATAAAGCAACATTTCTTAACAAACTGTTACTGGTTCTACAAAAGGTTTGTAAAAATAAGCTCATTTTTGAAAATTACAAGAATTATGAATGAGTTATATATTTTGTTATTAAATCTTTAAATGTTTGTTATAATTACAAACTACCTAATTATTTAATTAGTTGACAGATTAAAGTTGGTTGTTAACTTAACATAAAGTTATGTTGACCTGGATTAACATAAAATCTGGTAAACATTTGTTTAAAACTCTGTAAAACCAAAATTTTTTAAAAGTTAAAAAAAACCTATTTGTATACATGTTTTTTATACATTTTATACGTTTTAATGCATTTTTTTTTAATTTACTGTTTTTTTTCGATTTTTATTTTTGTTAAAAAAAATTTCTTTTTAAATTTTTATGTGGATTTTATACATATTTTTATAAAAACAAATTATTCATTATTATACAGAATGCACTTTTATGTACGGATATTTTTTTATTTAAAGACTTTTTTCGCCCACTAGATTTTTAGTTATCGCCACCATCTTTTGTTTTTCCTATTGCCACCATATTTAAATTTTACATGATTATATATTAAGTTACGGCGGCCATTATAAAAACAAAAGATGTTGATGGTATATCAAAATTTAGTAGAAAATAAATTGGATGAAAATTTGGAGTTATGTTTATGTTTACATGTAAAACTTACTTTTTTCAAAATTCATCGAAATAACAAAGTTATGACGATTTTTCATTTGATTTCATTTTAATAGGTTTAATAGGTTTAAACCTACAATTGTAATTTTCCAACTTTTCTCCAATTTAACCGATCTTGTGTTCTTCAAATAAAAAAATAGAAGTAGGTATACATTAAGAGGGATACTTGGTGCACCATGTATATAAATATGTCCTATAGGTATATAGGACATACCAATTGTCCTAAATAGAATAAAAGCCCACCTGATTAAAAACTATATTAACTCCTTGATGCATTAAGGAGCTAATTTCATGCTAAGCAAACTCAAAATTTTTATTTTTCAGTTTCACAAAAAATATGCGATAAAATCAAGATCCGAAAATCAACCCCACATATACGCAGTTGCCGATAACGCTTATCAAAACGCCATGCATCAAATACTGCCCCAAAACATCATTCTTACAGGAGAATCAGCGTCCGGAAAAACCCGCAATTATCTACATTTGGTAGATCACTTGATTCATCTGGGCAAAACCGAAAATATTAATTCAGGTAGAATCCTGAAGGCGGTGAAATTGATCCATGCGTTAACCCACGCGGCTACCCCTTTTAATAAGTATTCTACTAGGTGTGTAATGAAGACCGAGTTGTCTTTTAGTGGTGCTGGAAAGATAACTGGAGGAAAATTTAAGGTTGAAGGGTTGGAAAAGTGGAGAATATCATGCGTCGATATGTTTCAAGGCAATTTCCACATGTTATACTACGTGTTCGACGGTCTCAAACATACCGGCAAACTAAGTGAATATAACCTGGACTTCGATGTAGACTATCGTTATCTTAGACTCTCAGATGATACTCCTAAAGACACCTCAGCTAACGTAGACAAATTTAAGAAAATATTTGCTTACTTAGAAGAGTTTGATTTTACTGCAGAACAAATAGACACAATCCTTAAAATATGTTCAGCAGTTTTAATTTTGGGCGAAGTAAGATTCCTACAAACGGGAGATAATATTGCCACACTAGAAAGTGATGATTCGGTTAAAAAAGTTGCAGATCTGCTTAATTTGGAGTCGAAAAAACTTACCTGGGCACTTACTAACTATGTTGTTTCAAAAAATCGATCGGTTGTTAGAAGGAAAAATACTTCTGAAGAAGCAAGAGACTCAAGAGATGTGCTTGCTAATACTATATATCAAAGATTGGTAGATTATATTGTCGAGGTTATTAATCAGAAATTGGAAATTGGAAAAGCTATTTTGTAAGTAAAATCGACACAAAAAAACAAGTATAGAAAACATTCATTAAAAAATGTGCCTTTTTCCCCAAAAAAATTCCTTGAATTAATTCCGCACATTTTGATGTAAAATTTTCATATCGGCCGTTTTTTTTAATTATACCTCCTCTTTTTTTGCAGATTCGAATAGATTATGAAATTTTTAATCCAGAAATATTGGGATTTGGGATGATAGTTTTGGGTATTATTAAATTTAAAAGTTTCTATTTCCTAAAAGTATTTTTTTCTTCATAAAAATTATTTGGAAAATGCATTTAATGGATACATTAACCAATTAAATGTTCAAATTGCTCCCCGTTGGTTTCTTGAAACGTTTTTGATGACTTCCGCACTAATAAAGCGACATCCTTTACGAATTTGATTTTTGAGTCTGGAGATCTCGCTGGCCACTCTATCGGTGCTCGTCTGGAGCTGAGGAAGTTCCCTCACGCATTACTAGTATATTACCAGTGGTATTATTCCAGAAAATTGAACCTTCAACTCGCTAGAGATAATGTTTTTCCTAAAAACTTTTTAGTGCATTCCACCAACTTAAAATACTTCAAGTATTGACAGCTGTTTCCACCTATTTAAGGTCTCTTTAGTATCGAACAACTAGTGTTGTAGCAAAGGACTACCTGACCTTATATACTCTTCATGTAAGTCAACAGAGGCGAGATTTAAGAACATCACGTTATCCACACCGCCTTTGCCGCGATCGGTACACACTATGCAACCAGGAATGCAAGGCATATTGTTTTAATCGTTTTAACAGAGTGCTTTAGGTTGAAGTAAATCCTATTTTCCAAACAACATATTTAGTAAACTGAACCATACAGCGGGTTGGTTTTACTTTACTTCACTTTCTGGGTTAATTTAACCAATTTAAAAAAAATAAAATAACTATCTGGTTTAGTACCGTCAAACTAATCTTCCCACAGTTGATTTAAATAAATACTTATGGGTCAACTAAATTAATATAGTTAAATGAACTATTCCTTTTTTTCTGTGTAGGTGCACTTCTCAAATATTTTTAGATAAACACCGTTTTGGTGTTTGCTGTATATAACATTTTCAACCATAATTCATGGTGTTTATATTAACACCACTTGGTGTTGGATTTTGACACCATTTTAAGATTACTCTTTCCACCACAGATATTTTAAACAGTGGAATAGGTCGAGCTGGATACTTTGCATTAAATAAATTGAAAACTTCTTGTTGTGTTCTAGTTTTATTGCCACCTCCTATAAGAATAAAAACTTCAATTCGCTTTGTTTCCGTTAAATGGTCCATATTTAAATACTTAAGAGACAGATACTTCACTGAATGCTCAACTAAAAGTTTTTACATCTAGTAGTGAATATTTGTTTTAAATTATATACTAACAAGGAAATATAAAATAAAAAACTTCCATATATCGACACTTGCTATTTTTAGAATAACAAAAAACAAAAATAAACTAAAAATTTTGACCTTGAAACGAAATATTTTGAGGAAGTTTATGAACATTTCTTCTATAAACACTTTTATTTTTATTAAAATCCTATTAAAAAGTCTCTTAATAAAAACTATAAGACATCAAAACATTATTAAAAACTATAAATTTTCCACTTTTAATAATTTAATAATCATGGAAACTACCATCGAAAAATTTTGAAAAATATGAAAATTGTACATTAAACCAAGGCTTTTTTGAGAAAAAAAGCCGAATTTTTTATTAAATTTGTTTTATACTTTTGCCACTGTAACTATTGTATTACTTTTTAGTGGAGATAAATATAGCGTAAGGCTTTTGGACTACTTTGGTTTTGAATGTTTTAAACAAAACCACCTTCCTCAGCTCTTCATCAACTGTCTAAACGAGCAAATTCAGTACCATTACCTCCAAAGATCTTTCTCCTGGGAGGTCATGGACACAAAAGGCGAAAATATACCATACGAAACCATAAATTTCTATGACAACAAACAAACTTTAGATCAAATAATGCAAAAACCTGCAGGTGTTATAAATTTAATCGACCAAACCTCACGTATGGGCTTCAAGGGGAAATACATCTTGGAGTCCATAGAAAAACAGAGTTCTCAAAGACTGGGGGTAAAAAATAGTAACGAATTTTCGGTGGCTCATTACACAGGGAAAGTGACATATGATGTAAGGGAAATGCCTTGCAAGAATCGCGATTTTTTACCACCTGAAATAATTGAAACATTAAGACTATCTCAGAATGAAATCGTACAGCAATTATTTACCTGGAAGTTGGATAAAACGGGAAATTTATTGGCTTTCCAGGAAAACAAGAAATCTCAAACTAGATTCTCCTTTAGAGGTTCCAAGGTGAGACTATATATAAATTAAAAAATAAAATTAATTTTTATTTTTAGCGTGATATAGACTACTCCCAAATCAAACGAATGAGGACTGCATCCACAGTATTTCGTTCTATAAGCTTGCAGTTACTTAAAGATCTCTCCAGTAATGTTGGCACATACTTTGTTAGATGTGTACAATCTAATATTAAAGGACGACCGAATAATTTCCAAAGGGAAATGGTGAGGCAGCAAATCAGAGCCTTGGCAGTTGTAGAAACAGCAGTAGCTAAGCAGTGTGGATATACTTATAGGATGTCTTTTGCAGAGTTTTTGAGAAGGTAAAAATATTAATATACGTCAAGTTCAGTTTCAATGCTATACCCTGTATAGCCTGAAACGAGTTTTAATTAATGTAATTTTAGGTATAAATTTTTGGCCTTTGATTTTGATGAAAACGTTGATATTACCAAGGAAAATTGTCGACTACTTCTCATAAGATTAAACCTTGAAGGCTGGGAGCTTGGTAACTCAAAAGTGTTTCTTAAATACTACAATGAGGAGTACTTGTCCAGATTATATGAAACTCATGTGAGAAAAATTGTTAAGATACAAAGTATTTTAAGAGGTTTTTTGGTAAAGTGCAAAAATAAGAAAATGCTTAAAGAGAAGGAAGGAGACACAAGTAAGAATAAGATTTTATATGCTGAACCATAACATATTTAAAGAACCATACATGTCCCAATGCAATATTTACTTTATGTTATTTTAATGACAACATTAATACTATATTTTTTAGGTTCGATTTATTTTGTCGAATTCGATTTACAAAATAAGTAAATATAGCCCATATTGGACATGTGTAGTTTCTTAAATAAATATGTAAATAGTAAATAGCTTTTTATTATTAATTTCAATAATACACTATAGCATGTGAACGGTAGATGGTGCTGACAACTTTCGTTTACTGTGCTACCTCTGTCATTTATCCTGCCGCCTATAAAGCGGCCGATGCCTTGTTGTATAGATGTGTTCCACACCTTACGGCTACCCGCCACTGATAAGGCCCAAAAGACCGAAACAGTCTGTGGATGCCTGGTGAGGAACACGTCTGTAACAAATCACAGTAAGGAGGTTCTTTACCCAAGTAACACATGTGACACTCTTGGAAATGATGTTTGGCTTTATGGGATATATCACAAATGTTAATTGTTCTTACAACCATATTACCTTAATAAAAAGCTTTATTAGACACAACAAAACCTACTTTTAAAATCATACCGCCTATTACACTTGTAAGTTTTAATTTTGCTTTATTATGGGATGTCATGTAGGTATACCCTTATAAAACCATATTTACTTAAGAGACCCTTAAGGCCTATTTAGCTTTATCGCAGTATATTGGTTTTATTAAAACCGTTTTAAGGATTTTTAAAAAGTATGTTTTATGGTAGCAGTTAAAACCAAATTTCTGAAGGGAACTGTCCTAAGACTATTTGCTTATGCTGTAAGTTATCGACGCCAAAATAGGTCTTAAAGGCATTCTCCTTTTCGGTTTTAAGAAAGTCTCAAGCTTTTTGTAACAGCGCATTAAAGTTCAAAAAGCTTTAAGATGTAATTTTAAACGAGGCCCTTCGGTGCTGTTAATAAAAACGTATGTGTTACTTGGGTAAGTATATTATAAAGTTGTTTGATATATAGTTCAGGCTCGCTCGGCAATCCCTTTTAAAACATACATTGTTTGAAAGAAGTTTTAAATACTTATTTTTTAACAACCAATCGAATTAAAATTTTAGTGTTCAATGCCGCAAGGCGTATGAGTGTAATGACGGAAGATGTGGCCGCTGTAATAATCCAACAGGGTAAGGTTACCTATTTAACTTAAGTATTAAACCTAGTCCTGATAAAAAATAATTCAAGCTTACAGAAAAAAGGTCGAAACCAACGAAAAACTGGGTGAATTTAAAAATATGGACAATAAAACCAAAGAATTTATAGAACCGTTCGCCAAAAAGTGGAGAAATAAAAGTATCTTTCAAGTTTTGATGAGATATAGAGCTGCGAAAATACACGACCTATTTAACTTTTCCCAACAAGTAATTTTTACTCTCATTATATTTAATTTACTTTATAACTTTTTGTTTAAGGTGCATTTATTCAATCTGAATGCTTACCATAACCTAACCAAAATAAATAATGCTGTTGACACCGATGAAGTGGATACATCTGCAAACGTACACAAGTGGTTGGGTAAAGTTAAACTTTGCGCATGGAAACTAAATTTTCATCTAAATGATATACCCTTTTATGACACATCGAATATGTATGATGAACTTACTAACTCTGGGTAAAAAAAATAGACAATATTATTATTTTAAATTTTGAAACAATTTTTTTTCAGTGTGTCAGCAGAAAAGGAAGAATCGTGGGACACTCCTTACAGACAAAGAAAGTTAGTGATGTCGACTTCAGAGGATTCGGAAGAAACGCCATCTTGTTCAAAAACCAACGCAGATCCCTTGATATATCTAGCATACAATAGGGACCCAGAGGAAAAATTAAACTGTCTACCAGAATCCATAGACGAATTGAGCTCTAACAAATTCCAAAAGTCAAATACTAAGACCATGGGTAAACCAACAAGAATGGATAGAGCTCAAGGCAAGACCAACGAAATGAATAAAGTGAACATGGTTAGAGAGACTGAATATAGAAAAGAAAACACCTCAAATCATTATAATACCAAACCTGCGAATAAAGACTTTGACTACATAAAACCTACGCCTGTCAATAGGCCTAAAGTAAGCCCCATAGACGAGTTAAAGGACTTTGGAAGGAGAGATAGTAGTGCATCCGATGACCCGCCGTTTAACTTTCAGGGAATGTTGCGGAAGACCAACTTTCGAAAGGATTCCGTTAAAGATAAGGTTATTGATAGTGTAAGGAGGTTTTCATTGAAAAAATCTGAGCCCATTTTTGTCAATAGGAATGGTATAAATATTAATGAGAAAGCTGAGTTTAAAGAAGTTTCAGAAGAGCTTCTACCAGGGATGTATATTAAGGGTTATTCAATAGATGTATAATTTAAATAAATATATATTGTATCAATAATAATGTTATACTATAAAAAACTTTCATCTTCATCTTCGCTGTTTTCCTTTTTTGATTTGTAATGTGGATTTACGTGGGAGGTAACCACATTTTTGTATAAAGGGTTTTTATTTGCCCAGTATGCTCCTCTACTGCTCTCCTCAAATTTTGCGTACTCCCTTCTATCGTTTACAGTGGTTGCTATTTTCCATGATACTAAACCCACCAATGCAGCTAGTAACATGCTTCCTATGATAATTCCTGCCAAAGCTAAAAATAGTTATATTAATATTTATTAAATGTATGTAATGTAAGGTTGCCAATATTAAACCAACACTATGGAAGTGTACGAAACTTTCCTAAAAAAAAATACTGAACGCAATAACTAAACAATAGAAAAATTACACCAAAATGTAACTAGGTAATGTAAAAATAAACTTTATCTTTAAGCTTTCTATGATTTAATATTTATTATAATAATTGTCAATACTCACTACCAAAGTATCTTCTTATTACCTCCTAGGCTGTAAAAAATTTTAGACCAATTGGGTGAAGCTAATAAACTAGCATCCAAGGAAAATAAGTACGGTTTAATTTAAGAGCTGGTTTAATATGAGCGACTTTACCATAGTAAAGGATGCCCTAATAAAAACTTAAATTTTGAATAAAAAAAGTGGAAGATATTAATCGCAATTTTAATTCAAAATTCAAGCTCTTTAATTATTTTTATGAATACCCCATGCTGACATTTTTTCACTGCACTGTTTCTTGTTTAAAGCCACAACTTTTAGGGATAAATCCAGACCCACAAATTCGAAGTATTTAAAAATAATCTTGCAGTCATCGTCATCCAATATAATACAGTCTTCAGTGTTTGTCATGTTTCCAAACTTATCTACAGCTATTGTGGTAAAATCGATACAATTTTGATTACATTCATCCTTATTGTATTTTCCTGTATGATACACTTGACATTCTACGCAATGACGTAATTCTTCACATCTAAAAAGTTTCTTAATGAGATTTAAAAAATTCCTAAGCTTAAAACATACCTTCTATTTCCACAGTTGGTGCATATTTCGCAATATTTCCCAGTAAATGGCATGTCACATAAACATAACCCGCAGCTGCAACTTCCTCTGCCAGAACAAACCAGTTCATCACTTGAAGCCTTGCATGATGTAACAGGTAGACATTCACATGCCTCACCGCTCCATCCTTCTTGGCACAGACATTTACCACAATCGCACGTTCCACGGTTGTTGCACAGCAGGTTGTTGTTTTTGTTGCAGGAAAAGTTATCGCATTCGCAAAATTTTCCATAGATTTTTTGGTTGTTTGGGAGTTTTGAACAGTGGCATGTGTTACAAAAACAATCTCCTCTGTCTGAGCAGATTGGAGAGTTTAGTTTTGGTTGGCATAAACTTAAGTTAAAGATGTTCAAATCTAAAAAAATCCTTAAAATATGTCATGTAATTATAAATACATACCTTGAGATCCTTGACATTCGCAATTGTTCCCGTAAAACCCCGCTTTACAATTACATGCACCACATTCCATATTTCCATTATTGGAGCAGATATTCGAGTTTTCAACAAAATCAGGGTCAGGATATTTTTCACAATCACAACTGCATATAACATTTAAATTTATCATTATATTATCCTCCATTCCATCGGGTTTTATCAAAATATTTTTATTATTAATGCACTCCGCAGCTTTAATAGTTGCCGTAAACTCAATAACTTCATCTTGATGAATATAAAGACAACCACTTTTCGTTTTATTTTTACAGTTTGAGTCTATTTGTATTACAAATTTTGGTGAATCAGTGGTTATGGTAACAGAATCCATAATTTTTTTGTAATTATTCACGATTATTTCCTGTATATTACTTGATTCCTCATTGATTAAACCAACATAAGCAACTGGCTTCAAATAATCAGCTAAATCTGTATACTCTTGATAAACCTCTGCATTTGCTATAGCAAAAATAATATAAACATCGTTACTTAAAGCAGCATGTTTAATCTGCGAGATAGAGGGATAATCATACAATAAAGAGCCCATATACTCTCCATTAACAACATGACATTCCCCATCATTCGGTTCCACTATCCCACCAAATTTTCCATCTCCAGAAATGTGGAAGCTGGCGTCTGTAGCAAAAACTATTAGGCGTCTCGCTTGACTTCTCCACTGGACTTCTTTTAGACACACTATAGCTTGCAGTATTGAGTCCAAACCTCCTTCTGGTACATCAATGTTTTCTGATTGGCGAGTCGTTCGTACTTTGCGTATGAATTGTTTGAAGTCCTGGGTTAGAGGTAAGTGATTTCTAAACCCGTATGGAGGTTCTACATCATACTTACTAAAAAAAATTACTTAAATTTACTTTAAATGAACCTTCTAATCAAACACTTACTATTGTTTCATTGGATCAGCAAATGGTAGAGTTGGTTTATCAATGAACGTTCCAAAACCAAGTCTGAAGTCATTAGTAATATGCCTCATGGTATCCGATATTGTTCCACCCAACTCAGCAACTTGTTCCTTATGTTGTTTCATTGATGCAGAAACGTCCATAAGGTAATACAAGTCTATAGGATAAAATTTGACGGGTTTATATTTAAAGGTGAAATTGTATTCCTCGCCTTTGCGTAGGTTTAAGGAGATTTGTTGAGGTTGCATTTGTGTTATTGGAGTTTCAACAGTATTAATTGATAAAGGAATATTTTTTGTTATAAGTATATTTGATTTAGGTGATATTAATCTTCCATTACACCTTCTATTCGAGGATCTTTCAATACACGTTGGATACTAAAACATATAATATGTTAAATATTTTTTATTGTATTATTGTTATTGTCGACCGGACTCTCGAAGAAGGCAGAAGTTTACTTAAACGCTTTCATAATTCATTTATAAAAAATAAGCAAAAACCAAAGTGCTTATTATAATTTAAAAAAAATTCAAGGTGTGAGTACTGTGTGAAAGTGCTAAGTACCACAGCATAAAATCATCAGAATTAATTTGCAATCTTTACTGATAACTGGTACAAGTCGGTGCTGGAGAAGGATGTAATCAAAATATAGTAGGTGAAATTTATTAAATTGGAAATAAAAAAAAAATTTAGCAAGGCAGGCAAAAGTAGGTGATACAAAATAAACAAACAATAATCTTGAAACGCAGTAACGCATGTAAACAGACAAGTAATGGCTGGCTAAATACAGCATGTTCTTTGAAGTCAGTACTTGGAAAGAGCAGTCGAATCTTCCTTGCTGGATAGGTAACAAATGCCGGAAATATACGACGCTGAGGGTAAGGGGGCAAAGACACAGAAGAATAAGAAGCAGTGCACGACAAATAAACGTTAGACCCTTCACAGTGAAATAACAACACCCAGTCGCAACGATTGTTGTTGGGTGCAGAAGAAAAAAGGTGGGTATTGGTTTCACTTGCGGGGCCCGAAAGAGACGATGCGTATGTTCATTTTCATATTTTATATTATATTATGGTTTACTTACGTTTTCTATGCACCAATCACACTTAAGGTCTTGTATACAATCATGGCAAGTTTCTTTTACATTACACTGACATTTTATACTTTTAAATGTAAAAATAAATATAAAGATATTTAAAAAAACTGGTCTACTGAAGAATTCCATTTTAACTAGGTTTGATATAAGATGACTTAAATTTATATACTTAAATATACAAAAGATAAGATATGAGTCAACGGAAATTCTAGTCTAAAGTAATGTGTAAATAATAAAAAATAAAAGTAAACAGGGTTCCAGTAATAAAAAACTTTTTAAATTAAATATCAAATTTTGTATTGTTGTTAATTGTTTATAATATAAATATTATAAAATTTTAAATGAAAACAAATTAATAAAAATACAACGGAAAATGACATTTTTTCTTATTGTACTCTTAACTGTTTAATCGCATACTTCGCCTTCCGTAGGCAGGGTTCGAATAATCGGTGGAAGCTTTTACAAACAATGGATTTTCACCTGTCCCCCATTTCATACCCTTTTGTTCCTGCTCGAATTTGGAAAACTCCCTTTTATCGTGGATAGTTGTACCAATTTTCCACATCAACAGAAGTACTATACCCGCTAGGAGGATGGAACCCATTACTCCAAAAATTAACACTAAAAAGTTTTGTGTTAAAGTTAAAAGAATATAATGATTAAATAAAAATAAAAACGTACTCCATAAGATATTTTTTCTACAATTTGGTTCGTCCAAAGCTTCTACAATAAAATCTTCAGTGTACCGGAACCATATTTCACAGTTGTCTTTATTGAAATGAACACATGGCGTAGCTGAATGTGTTTCGTCAAACTCTTTAACCAATTTTGTAATAAATTTGGTACAGTTCGTTTTGCAACCCATTCTATCATATTTCCCAGTTTTAAATCCCTGACATTCGACGCAATCTTTAAAACTATCACACCTAAAAAATAACAAAGTTGATGAAATTATTATAGATGAAATTTATTTTCTTACCTTTGAGCTGTGGTTATTTTATCATCGCAGTGTTTCCCGGAGTATTTTCTATCGCACACGCAAGCATTACATTTGCATTTGCCATTATCTGAACATACAACTCCTTTATCGTTTTTACATTCATCCTGGCTGCTTTTGCAGTTACAATCTCTTCCCGTCCAACCTGTTTTACATCTACATTTACCGCATTCGCATACTCCATTGCCTAAAAAAATTGATTTTTAATTATTTGAATACAGAATAGCGTCTCATCCGCTGAATATCCACAATTGACAATTGGTCTAAAGTTCTTACCTGCGCATAATTGACCATTAGCCCTATCACAATTGAAATTATCGCATTCGCAAAAGTCTCCGCTGATAACGTCCTTGTCAGGATTTTTGGTTGTATCACATACGCACTGGCCGCACTTACAAGTACCCCTTCCGGAGCACTCTTTACGATTTGGACCTAGACAATTCTTATTATCGATATTCATATTCGAGTTACCCGCGCATTGGCATTGTTTTCCTATAAAGCCATCGTCACATTCGCAAAGCCCACAAATAAGTCTGCCTTGCTTATTGCATTGGTCAGAACGGGAGCTATTCTTTTTTTGGCATTCGCAGTCGCACAAAATATTAAGTTCTATAGTAAGTCCTTCTTTGGAAATACCGTCTGGGTACACTTTTATAATTTGGCTGGCATTATTTGGAGGGCAAGATTCTGCATGTATTGTCGCGGTAAAATTAAGCACTTCGCCTATTTTTACTCCTTTACATCCCTTTTTACTCGGATTTGTACAATTTGATGTAAATGTGATTTTAACGTTATCTGGTGCATCGTATTGCATCTTAGTTGTGCTGACGATGTTCTAAAAAAGTTTATTAAATAAAGATTTTAGAATAATTTGGTAATTTAGGTTCTCTTGTGTTTGTATTTTACCATCAAAAACCATATACTTACTATATAATTTTTCTCTATAACAGAATTAATGTTAGTACCATCACCCATTATACTGACATCAGAGTTTTCTATTTCTTTCGACAGAAATGAGTATGGCTCTCTAACATTTGAATTCACATAAAATATAATATACTTTTTTTCTTGACGGGCAATGTAATTGATGTGGGATAAAGATGGGTAGTCAAAATTCAACGATTCGTTGTACACGCCATTGTGCAAATGACATTTTCCATCGCTTGGAACGACTATACCAGCCAATCTACCACTGCCTTAAATTAAAAATATAAAATCGTAATGCTGTGGGCGTTTATAAATTTCAGCGTTTTTCATTGTACTTAGTGTGCTGTGGACGATTGGTTTCTATAGAGATCATTTTAAATATAACCTATAGAAGTAAATTTCAAGAAACACCTCCTGGTATAATACAGCCATGGGCGCCCTTAACTATGGGCACTTGTGAGAACGTATTGGAAAGCTCTTGAAAATTGCTACTACAATAATCAAAACACCTTAATTTTTAGCTTTTAAAATTAAATGCAGAAAATAACTCCCATGAGTCTATTTTTAAATAGGTAGTCTTTTATTATTTTTTTAAAATGGAATGTATGTTTTTGGTAGATTTTTTCTATCAGATTTATACAACTGCTATTCATGCGGATAAGTTCTAATATTTTAAATAGTATTGCTTGTTTTCCAAAATGGTTTACACAACGGCTGAACATGTTGAAATTATTTTCATTTATGGTGCATAAAATCTTTGTGCATATTGAGGTTGGTTAGATCTCGCAATATCACTCCGTTTGGCATCTAGATTAACAGGGCTTTGCCCTGAGTCTGTTAGGAAGGTATTAAAACATCACAAATTCCACCCAGTCAAAATGCATATTACACAAGAACTTGGCGGTGATGATGCAGACAGGCGTTTAGAATTTTGTAAAATCATGACCAATAAAATAACAAATCAGTTTCAAATACTAAACAACATTTGATTCGGTGATGATTTTTTTATCCAAATGGAAATGTTAAGAAACAAAATTTTCGTTTTTGGAGCAAGGAAAATCCTCATTTCATCAGAGAAAATCATAATAATAATAATAATAATAATAATAATAATAATAATAATAATAATAATAATAATAATAATAATAATAATAATAAACTTCATTGTAAAATAGCAAAGAAAAAACGATGTGGCTCCCGTCCCGAGGCGGGACTTAGCTTCGATCCCGACTGACGTCACACACTGTAAATTCGTTTTTATTCCCCGAGCTTTTAAAATTGGTGTCAAGCTGGATGGCTCAGATGGCATGCGAGAGGTCCTGGGTTCGATACTAAGAAGCGGTCGAACTTTTTTTATTTTTTTATTTCATAAATTTGTTATTTCTTTGTTAAACAGTGTTCGGTTGGGTTGGGTTGGTTGGTTTGTTTTAGTTTTATCGTAACATAAAATCTGCTAGAAGTTGTCAAACTTTTTTTATTTTTTTATTTTATAAATTTGTTGTTTCTTTGTTAAAAAGTGTTGGGTTGTGTTGGGTAGGGTTGGGTTGGGTTGGTTGGTTTGGTTGGTTTGTTTTAGTTTTATTGTAACATAACAAATCTTAAAATTATGACGTCAATCGGGACTGAACTTAAGTCCCGCCTCGGGACGGGACCCACAGCGAAGAAAAAAATACATTTCACAAATGGAGTTCAGCAACATGCTGTTCTACCCCTCAAACCTATAAAAAACAATGTAATATAAAATAATATTACAAAAAAAACAATATAATATAAAGTATACTAATTACTAAACTTAAATTATGAATACCCAATATCCTGAAATACTTTATGTCTGGGCAGGAATTTTGGGAGATTGTATTATTGGTCCCTTATTTATTGGCCAAAATTTGAATGATAAAATTAATTTTGAAATTCTAGATGAAACAATACAGCCACTAATAATAAATGAACTAGAAAATCAAAGAGGAGAGGATGATGAGCCAACTTTGGATGAAAATGTATTACATTTCAACAAGATGGGCACCACCTCATTATGTGGAAGCTGTTAGAGCTTGGCTGGATCAGAATTATCCAGAACAGTGGATTGGAAGAAGATTACCAATATAATGGCCTCCAGATCTACTGATCTGACACCATTAGCCTTTTTCTTATGGGGTCACTTAAAATCTGTGGTCTACAAATGCCAGAATGCCGAGCTATTCCACGACAAACATTTCAAAATGTTCAAAGAAAATTTGATAATAGTTTGTAATAATTCGAGTCATTTTGAGCATTTATTTTAATTTGTTTTGATTATGCTTTTTTGGGTTATTATACCTACCTTTGTTAGAATTATTTTTTGCTCTCCAGTTTTTTTACTAATGTTTTTACAACAAAATGGTATAATTGGATATTTATAAGGAGAAATTGAAATAAATAATTATTATCGCTATAAATTTTTTATTTATAGGAATTTTAAATAACTAAAAGGTTTACATGAAAACATACACAATTACCTACATTTTGATTACATTGTGTATTTTTACGCCTACTAGATTCTTAGATACGACCACTATCTTTTGTTTTTCCTATGGCCGCCATATTGTATCATAATACTTTAGCCAAAAATTAACCCATTAAAATCAACTTTTTTATTATTGAGACACTAACTATCAAGTTGCCATGAAAAGAAACAATCCAATTGTCCCAGTCCAAATGACTTTTATACTTGTCAAGTTGATAATGGGGCATTCCACGTTACTCGGTAATTTTTGTCCCGCCCGTCACAATTAAAAATTGTGAGTAAAAACCACAAGTTATAAAATTAATATTTTATAATATTATTTTTATTGTGCTTATAACTAATTAAAAGCATAATAAAACAATATTTTTAAATAAATTTTATAACGTGTAGTTTTTACTCACAATTTTCAATTGTGACGGGCGGGACAAAAATCCCCGAGTAACGTGGAATGACCCTAATGTCAATTAAGGTGCTAAAAAATATCCTTAAAGTGCATGAAAATGAAGTACACTAATAAAGAAAAAGTCGATATGCTTTTTGTTTATGCAAGAGCATTTCGAAATGCAAGAAATGCTGCTGAAACATACGCTAACTAGTATTCCGAAAAACAGGTTCCTGACATCAAAAATTTGCGCGAACTGAAAATAAAACCAACTGTAACAAAAGAAGGAGTTTAAGAGGAAACTAATATCTTTTATAAATAAAATAAATAAATTTTAAAGTTTAGGTACGTTGTGATATTTATTTTAGGCTACGTGCATTTTAAAAATGAGGTTTCTTTAAGAAAAAAAACAGGTCTAAAAAAAATGTCGTCAAGAAAAATTTTAAAAAGATAAAATACATTATTGCTACAGGAAAGTACAACATTTGAGGCCCTTGAATTAAAATAAAAGAAACATTTTTTGTCGGTGGTTATTGAGAAAAAAGCGACAGGATGCAAACATTCTTAAAAAAATTCTGTGGAGCGACGAAAGCCGATTCTTTAATAACGGATGGTATCCACTATCGCTTGACCCAAGAAAATGAATATTTGCACCCTGAAACTGCATTTGAGGAGAGGTTCGGTATAAATGTTTGGATGTATTGGATTCCAGTGTGGTGAGGCCTATCTTTTTGAGGAGCATTTAACAGTGGAAAGGTATTTGGATATGCTAAGAAATACCCTACTAATAATTTTAAATACTTCCAACAGGATGGTGCACCAGCACATCGAGAAAGGCGTGTTACAGAATTTTTAACTACGTTTAAACCAAATTGTTGGATTCGTAATAATGGACCCATAAATTGGCCGGCCAGGTGTCCAGACCTAACCCCTATGTATTTTTCCATATGGGGAATTATTAAACATAATGTTTATAAGAGGACGACCCGTGATGTAAATGATTTCCAAATTAAAATTAGGGAGGCGTGTGATAAAATTACCCGGCCGTTTTTAAAAATATTCAAAAAAATTTGACCATGAGAGCACACACATGTTTATTAAACAATAGTGGTCATTTTGATATTTTTATAGTTTTAAAATATTTAAAAAACGTGTGACATCATTTATGGACGGCCCCTTAACAAAAATTCAATATGGCGGCCATGGTAAAACAAAAGATAGTGGCCATATCTCAAAATCTAGTTGGCGTAAAAATGTATACACAAATTTTATCAAAATGTAGGTAATTGTGCATGTTTTAATGTAAACCTTTCAGTTTTTTTTTAAATTCCTATAAATAAAAAAATTATAGCGGGCTCGATCCATCTCAAATCACCCAGGCCATTTATGTCGAAAAATTTTTTTTCGGCGATACTTTCAGAAATGGTTGTTTAAACTATTTCAGAAAACACATATTTTTTGTTTTTGCTCTTAAAGTCAGCGTTTTCGAAAAATTTAATTTTTTCTCTGAGCGCACAAATGCGGATTTTTCATTTTCCCCATAAACAACTTTTTTGCGAACGCTTATAACTTTTGTAAAAATGCATAGATTTGAGTGCTTTTTTTTTAATTTGTAGGTAATTGTTCAATCTACGAAGTACATTGAAGAAAAAAAATTTTGCGCATAATTTTTTTTTAAATTGTTAATTAAGTAAAAAATAATTTGATAATGCCACATTTTTTTTTCTTTTGATAATTTTTTATATCAATGTGTGATGTATGAACAACAATATGTATAAAAGTCAATATGCTAAAATTCGTTTTTTTTCGAGATATGATTTTTTTTAATTACAAAATGTTTAATACTTTATTGTTTTTGCACATTAATCGCCGAAAGCATATTTTACAAATAAAAAAGGAAAGGATGACAGAAAATGGTCTATTTATTAATAAAACTATGTATTTAAAAAAAGCAGGGCCCTTAAATAAATTAAGTATCGAAGTAATGTGTGTTCAGTTAACGTACACGCTCATGAGCGTGCACGCAATAATATCGCCACGAGTTTTTTTACATTTAATTGCTAACGAGGAGTAAATAAAAAGATCTAGTTAGCCATCACCGTTGCTAGGTAACACATTTGTTTAATAAATAGTTTTGACAGGTTTTGTGTCCCTCATAAATTATCGTTGTTAGTCAGCTAGTCAATTAATAAAATCATTATTTAAACACGAAAAGTAAACCAGCATCTAAGGTACTATCGCTAACAAAAAAAACTCATACAGCTATATTGTGGCTGTGTGAATAAAACTTTTCCGTCAATGTCAAGCTGACATTGAGCTTTGTCACATTAGGACTTTTTTAACAACATTTTCAACCAAAC